TGGCTGACCATGTAATCCATCAAATCTTGGCAAAAGTGATGGCTGACCTGGCTGTCCATCAAATCTTAAAGCATGACAACCTTCAAATCTTGGGCCACCCTGACTCAAAGGCCCTTCAATTCTCATTCCACCTCCTGGTACAGAAGGACCCTCAAACCTCATTCTACCTCCTTGTTGGACTAAAGGTCCTTCAAATCTGATCCCAACCCCTGGCTGACCATGTGGACCCTCAAACCGAAGGTTGCCCCCTAGTTGATTATGCTGACCTTCAAATCTCAGACTAGCTACTGATTGACCATGAGGGCCTTCAAACCTCATTCCAACTCCTTGCTGTAGCAAAGGGCCCTCAAATCTTATCCCTCCTCCTGGCTGACCATGAGGTCCATCGAATCTAATTCCAGTCCCTGATGGACCATGACCCCCCTCAAATCTAAGTGCACCTACAGGCTGCCCTCGGGGATTGTCAAATCTAAGTGCACCTACAGGCTGCCCATGAGGTCCTTCAAACCTTAGGCCACCCATAGGTTGGCCACGATGTCCCTCAAATCTCAGAGGACCCACAGGCTGGCCACCTGGTCCTTCAAATCGCAAACCACCTGCAGCACCCTCAAATCTCAGACCAGGAGAACCTTCAAACCGAAAGCCACCTCCTCCTCCTGCCTGACCAATTGGCCCTTCAAACCGCAGAGGTGTCCCTACTGGTCCTGGAGGACCTTCAAATCTCAACGGACACCCACCTCCTAGCTGACCCTGTGGACCTTCAAATCTCAAAGGGCCTCCTCCCCCCATTTGTCCTGATGACCCATCAAGCCGAAGAGAACCTGGTCCAGGAGGTCCATCAATTCTAGAGCTTAGCTTATTAGGTCCTTCAAAAATCATCTTGGCTGGGCCATCTCTCGTAACTGATGGCCTAGCAGGTCCATCAAATAATGGTCTGTCTTCAGCTAAAGCCGTAAGTCGCTGATTTGTATCAAGGCCGCGGCCGCGGAATCTTGATGCAGGGCTCTCTACAAAAGGTTTGTCTGGATCTTCATATCTAGGTCGTTTAAGTGGAAAACGATCGTTGAATGGCGATCTCTGCTCTTCTCGTACACCTTTTAAAAAGAAAAATATTTTTCATTAAGTCTAAATTTATAATACATTTTCTTCAAATTTTTTTCTATGCTCATGTAAATGTTTGCAAAAATCTGAACATAAACGATCTTTTATTAGAGGGGAAGGAATAGAGACAGCATCAAGCAGTAGATAAGACGATGCCCTCTACAGTCAGGTACAACTGGGTAAAAATCCCCACCGTATCAACATACTAATTGTGTAACTTTGAGCAAGTTATTTAACTTTTCTTTCCTAGTTTCCTATCTATAAAACAAGGACAATATATATTTTAATTGGGTTGTTGTTAGGATTAAATCAGATTACATATATAAAGAAACAATAAAAATCGTGACCCACAGTTGATCTCATAATTAGCTCCCTTCCCTTCCCTTTCTTTAGAGGGGAAAACAAAATAAACACAAAAATGTTAACAGTCAAAAAACAAACAAACAAAAAAAAATCCATCCCCACTTAGCTGGTCCATTTTCCCTTCACTGCTGTGTGATTCAATAGGCATAATCTGATTTAACTTTTTCTACCTTTAGCAGAGACTTGCTCGTCATGTCTTCTCCGGCCCTCATGGGGTGAAAGATTCTCAGCATAAGTACGACTCCCAGATATAGGAGAAAGACGTCTTGCTCTTTCACTAAATTGTTCTTTTCTGTCAAACTGCGCTCCACTATTCCTACTTGCATGTTTACTTTTGGATGGCTCACATTCTATTCCAGACAACAAGGCATCAGTCAAAGGGTAGTCAAAAATATCAGGATCTAAAAGATCAAGTCTTGGAAATGAATGCTGAACCTGTGTCCTTTTCAGTTTTGCTTTATGTTCATAGTAGGTTAATTCAGCATCAGATAAGAGCGGTCTCTTTTTTAATCCACCTTTATTTTCTTCTGTAGGACTATCCCGTACATTGCATCTATGTTTACCTTCTTGATACTGAAATAGTTGTCGAATTTGATGAACAACAACAAGGAACTCATCCTGTGTAATTTCACCAGATGCTAAGCGTTCACTCGTCTGCATATGGGTGAGAAAAAAAAAAAAGTAAATATGTTAAATATAAAACATAACTACAAAAAATTAGATAAGGACAGACAATGAGTACATGAAATTTATTATGGTAATTACCTTTTGAAGTAATTCTCTTTTGCTTGCAAGAGTTAACTCTTTGGGAATCTGAAGATTGGCATCTACACTTAATCGATGCTGCTGCTTTGGGGTTCGAGGTGACAAGATTCCTTTAGTGCTTGACCAGCTTTCCCTATGCCTTGGGTGAGGAGACTTACTGTGCTCATCACTCTGTTGTAAGCTGAAACCATAAAAGCATTATGTTAAGACTTAAAAAAAAAGGTTTTATTTAGGAATCCTTTTCAAAGGATCTGGTTAAAATGGATGTGTGTGTGTGTAAACAACCATGTATTTAGATATTTAAGACACAAGATCTGAAATAAGAAAAATTAACTATGAATTCTGAATCTGAAGTGTTGTGGATATAAGACCTTAAATATGTTAGATTCTAAAGGTCAGATTCCTTATGTGTATGAAAAGAATTCTTAAAAGTATTTCACACACAGGGTTTTAAAAATTAACTTTGTAACATATAAGGGAGTTCTGGTGGCCTAGTGGCAGGAACCAGACGCTCTGCTGGAGAAGGAATGACAAACTCCTCCAGTACCAGTCAGACCCAATTTGACGGTACATACACAAATACAAAAAAATTTTTTCAAAAAACCCAAACCTATGAAATACTAATCATGCTATAAATATCAACCAATATTTACATTAACACTTGACTTTTCTACTGTATGTACTATTCTACTTATTAAAAATATAATACTCATACCTTTTATTTTCTTCCCAACCAGATTTCCATCTTTTGGTAGACTTGGAACTTTGCCAATTTTCTACATTCTCTTTTGGTTCAGGGCCTAATTTTGTTGAATGCAGATTTGTAATTTCCTGTGGTCGTTCCTCCTCAGTCTTTTTTATTCGCCTTGGATCTCTTATGTCCTGTTTCGTACTTCTCTTAGCATTTCTTTCTTCCCTGGAAAGTGTTGTAAACTCCTCTAGATGTGACTGCTTAACTCCCGACTGGCGAATCTTTCCAGATTTGGGTGTTGAGGTTGGAGACATACTCCTCTGCCTTCGTTTGGGTGACCGTCTATCTCTTCTCTTCGGGGAAGGTACAACTGGTGACCGAGACTTGGGTGATCGAGATCTTGATCGCTTCCTAGTACTTGATCTTCCAGGCTTTGTGCCCTGTTTTTCTGATTCTTCTGTTATTGTATCCTGTTTTTGCATAATACCATTTATGATTTTATTTCTACTTCCAACTGGTCTATGCTCAGATGATTTCATGTGCTCATCTTTCTCTTTTTTTTCTGTTGTTTTTCTCTTTTCTTTTACATCATCATCTTTGGCATCAGTCTTATCCTGAAGATGTTTTTTTAATCTTGGGTCTCTTTTGTTCATATCAGGTATTTCAGAGTCTTGATTTTTCAAGTCTTTTGTATGGGATAATTTGTTTTTCAAAGGTGATGGTGATTTAGATTTAGATTTAGATTTGGAATCTAATTGGTCAAGTTCTTTCTTAGCTGATTTTTCACCTGATTTATTTTTTTCTTGCTTGGATGAATTTAGTTTTTCAGAGGGCACAGTTTTACTTGTCTTAATATCAGATTGATTCAGAGGGTTCATCAGAAAGTCTTTCCTATGACTTTGATCTTTCCCATGAGAAGAATGTTGGCCCATTCTATTAAGGCGGGGATCTCGAGTAGTTCCTTTCAAATCTTGAATTTGTAAGGATGGAGTTGAACGGCTTTTTTCAGGCTGCACCGGAACCTGATGGGAAGTTTTAACTGCCATAGGAGGAATCTGTGGCACATGTAATTTGGATGATGTTGATCCAGGACCTAAACTGGATGTCTCTTGTTGAACACTAAGAGAAACAGCCTGAAATACAAAATAATGTTCACATTAATAAAGTACACATTATTTGTTGAAGAAGAATATTCAATAAATACACTTATTATTTATTCTACATTTACACTGTGTAATTGATTTATAAGTAGAGGTCTTAATGAAAAGATGAGGAAGTACATGTATTCACATGGCTTATTATGTCTTACTGGTACTTTAGGGTTTCATAATGCAAGTCTTAGAAAAACACAATTCTCCCTTTTCCTGTTTATGACTTTGAGTCAGTAACCTTCTAACTAAATTTTAAGTTACAAAATTTAATTCACTTTCCTCAAATTATCACGAACACTGACATACTAAGCTTGCTTTTCTATCTCTTCTCACTCCCAATAAAGCTCCTATGCTATGTTGAATAGGGTAAATCTCTCAAATGTGGAAATTTGTTATCTTCCTGGTCCTTTTCATTACGTAATGGCTTTTGTTCTGTTTCTAACTGTATAATTTTTTGCTTATGAAACATAGTTTCAAAACAAAATCTAAAAAACATACACTCTTAATTAGTACTCAAAAGTCCACTCATATGATAGTTACATAAAACTAAACTTAGTTTCCTAAAGTGTGTTCCAGTAACATTCATCTATTAGACAAGTATTTGGCAGAGAATACTATAGTTTTCATGCACAAATAAATAAAAGAAAATAAAAATTTAGTTTCATACATACATCATCATTTGCAAAAGAAATGAGCATATAAAGAACACATACTGGTACATAAAATATTTCAAACAAACACAAAAATTACTTCTTTTTTTGAGGAAAGGTGGAAAGTGAAATACTGGCACTTACCAGTTGGGCCTTAGCTTGTTCTAGCTCCAACTCTAGCTTTTTTTGCTGAAGTTCTAGCAGTTGCTTTTGCTTTGCCAGTAACTGCTGCCTTATTAGCTGTTCTTGAGGAACAATTGGAGGAGGAACAATTGGAGGAGTGGAGATGCTAGGAGAACTGACACCTGTGCCAGGAGTTGAAGGTTCCTCAGGCTATTTAAAAAAAGGTAATCGTCAAAAGATTCTTAAAGCTAACCAATATAATGCAAAAACCTTTAAGATTATCAAAGCTAAAATAAAAGCAAAAGGCTAACTAAAAATTATCAGCTTAATTCTTAAATACTAATCATAAAGAAAACCTCATTCTAGAACTGAGAACTCAATGTATCATTTATTATTTAAATAAGCTTAACTTTAAATTACTGTGAATCTGAAAAAACCAAATTGATATTTTATAAATTAAACTGATTCAATATAAGGAATTCTTGTACTTTAGCACTCTGGCAAGGAATTTTATATTCACATTAACACTTACCGATTTATTTAAAAACTTAGGATTCACATGGATGCTAGAAGTATTCACATTGGGAGGCAGAGGCTTAATAGGCCAAGCAGGATCCAATGAATTGACTCTGACATCCAGGGCATAAAGTTTCTTCAAAGGGAAAATTTCATCCCATGTGGAACGTAATTTAAATAAACTCTTTCTAGTATTTTCATCCACCTAGAAAAACAGAAAAATTCTATGGCTTGTTAAGTTCCAACAGAATATTTTACATATTAAGTCTAACCTACATAACTGCTCAACTTCACAGAGAACTACATCATCAAATCACAAATATTATTTATAAATAGAAACATATATGGGGGGGTGTGTATATATATATACACACACACACACACTCTAGTGCCTTATTAAAAAGTATATATATATGGTTTACAAATTTGAAAAGAAACCTTTCTAGCCAAAGACACCTGGCTAGAATATGTAAACTTAGATTTTCAGCCTTGATTGTACTTGATTTCCTTATTGACTACAAGATCATTTTTATCAACTACAGTGTGTTTAAGAGATTCTATCAAATATTCAACTGAATTCAAAAAAGAATAATCACAATTTTGCTTAAACTCTCCCAAATACATTGATGTCAAATTGGTTTTGCCGTTAAGACTATACAGCCTACACACTACTCAGTTTTCATGACATAATTTCCCCAAGTACTTCACCTATTTCTCTAAGAACTTAAGAAAAAAAAATTCATTCAAGCTGAGTAGCAACTCAGTATCTTCTAACATCCTTTCATTCCTAATTCTGCAACTTTAGAATAAAAAAAATTCACTCAGAGTAGCAACTCAGTATTTTCTAAGAAGGAAATCATAAATTGTAGCTTATCATTTACAAGATGAAAATCACTATTATCCTTCCCACCACCTATTAGCAATATTCAACATTTTAGTACTTCTGATCTTTTTACTCAAATTCCAGGGATGGAACAGATCTTCAGCCAACTGAACAAAGTGAATTTAAACTAAAAAGTAACAACAGTATGAAAAACAATCCTGTCTATGCTAAATGTCTAACAGAAAATCTAGTATCTGCTTTTAAAAAAGTCCAACATAAAGTATAAATTTCACTTTCTGTGAAATGGTACCTGATAATGAAAAACCCAAGTAAAACATTTCACCAACCAAGAAAACCCAACACAAGGCACTTATTTAGTCAGGAGCATTTTTTTAAAAGTATTTTTAAATGAATATATACCTTTTCAAACACACAAATAAATGTTGCAACTAGATTTTTAGTAAAGGCAGTGAGATACTCTCTTCCAACATTTTTCACGATAGAATCCATGAGGTACATAACTGGAAGCTTCTCTGAGGAAGGAGCCTAAATAAAAAAAGAAACTGAGAAGGTTAGTAATTATGAATTCCCACCCAAAAATTTACTTTTTACATGTGAGTTTTAAAACCTAGCACAGACCTCTATTTCTGATTGATACTACTCTTGAATTATTAAAAATCTTTATGAAACTTAAGTGTTCAAGTTACTGTTTTTTAAAAATCCATTTTCTTGAGCATATAAAACAAGCTCAGAACTTAAGGGGAAAAAATTACCACTATCTAATACACTCTTTTAATGGTTAAGAGTTACAGGTTCATGTGGGAAGTGTCTTAAAGTGATCAAAATGGAGGAGAGTTGAGGAAAAGAAAAATTCTCTGTAAGTGTAAATTTTGTGGCATTAACCTAAAATGGTGTACCTATATTCAATAAACTTTTGACAAAAACCTAATTCCTGTAAGCATATTTTAAATGTTTGAAATCTATGAAACTTTTGTTACCAGTAAAAATTATCACACGTATATAATCCAAATTGAGAGGGGGAAAAAAACATGTACACTTCACATTTGAAGTTAATGGCAAACACCTTTAAATTTGCGCATGAACACGCAGGAAAAAGGTGCAAGTCTTTTAGTGATACAAGAAAAACTGATGGAGCAGCAGCCGAGTCATGTATATCAGGTTGAACTGGAAACCAGGATTTGTCCTGTAGATTTTTCTTCACAGCACAGGCTCTCCGTTGAGAGTATCAGGCATTCTAAACTTTTGCAGGAACCAGAGTGGTGATGCTCATATAGGTAGCCCTTTCCAAAGCAAAGAACGTTGCCCCAGTTCATCTGCCATGTCTACCCATCATTGGCTTTTAGAAGGTGCAGCAAGCTTCCAGAAAGCATCAGCAGGTTCACAGACTTGTTCAGGAGCATTAAGACATAACACAAACTAAGTGTCAACTCTGAGACACCACATAAGTATTCATGATTTAAAATAAAAATAAAAAGTTATCCCCATTTATCCACCCCATGTGTATAGGAATCAATCCCAAACACTTACCCAAGCTACCTGTAGCTAGGGTAGGCTCACAGTTCTGGAGTACAAAATGTCATTATTTCACAAAACCAAGTGCCCATACAAGTGTGTGGAAATGCTCTTGCTTCTGATTAACACCTTTTACAATGGAAGTTGACTATGAAGACCTTTGGATAATTTTGTATGAAAAACATTTTACAGTATTATCTAATAAAAGGGTTCACGAGGCCTCTGGCATGTGGGTAAACCATTAAGTACCAACATGTCAAACGCTTTATTATCGTGTCTGTCTTTACTCCTATACCATGTCATGTTTTATACCATTTTAGTCATTGTACTTATGGAAATAAACAAGCCCTTTTTAAAGCTAAAATCTGCTGGGCAGGCTAGTCTTTTATTGTGTAAGTGAAGTCCTTATATGTTTTTGGTTTTGGGGTTTTTTTGTTGTTTGGGGTGGTTTGTTTTTTTTTTTTTGCTACTGCTGTCTCATGGGAGGAGTTAAATTAAGTGTGAATCCTTTAGTAATGCTTAGATGCTAGACCAAGGACAGATACATTCATCTCCATAAACAAAAAACCAAGCCAGTTTACTACTAAATACTGGAAAATCCCTCCCCTCACCCTCAACCCCCACCCCAATAATTCCCCAAAGGGACAGCTTTTTCTCAATCTGGCTTTACAAAAATAACCAGTAAAGTGTGCCAAGAAATTTCTGCTTTTATCAGCAAAGAGTCAACCTATTTTCACCACTCTGTGTACCAAAACACAAATACATGTTTTAATGTGGTCACTGTAAGTTAGCACTTAGTTTCCAGTTCTCGAAGTTCTTTTGGATCCTGAGTGACAACGTGAGCTGCTAAATATTAAGCTCTGTGGACATTAATCATCCCCCAAACAATAATTTTTTAAAAAATATCAATTTTACTTTAAATGTCGTTTCAAGCCACAAAAAAACGGGGGAGGTGGGGTAAGGGAAATTTAAAAAAGAATAAAATGTTATGCCTCCAACAAAATAAAAATTACTTAAGTCTTCAAATCCAATGTTTGTGACATCAATTAAAAGGAGTTGAGTATGAGGATGCTTCCTTTTTAAATCTCACACCTTAAGGAAAAAAGAATAGCTGCTGCACATGCCCATTCATGGGTAAAGATGAAGACCTGGATTTTAGTCATCAGACTGAGCATGAGAAACATTTGAATACTTTTAAAGGGAGGGGAGAAATCTCATTTTTGCCCTCTTTAATTAAGATCTACAAAGGACCACACCGTGTATCTTGTGAACACATTTTACCCAAAAGAGCGGATGGAGCCTAAATAAGAATAAACCCAAGTCACTTAAAGACTTTTTAAAAAACACACAACCACATAGAAAAAGAGTCTTGGAAACAGACTCTACACATGTAAATAAAAAGACAACTACATATTTCATATGTTTTATTAACAAATTTTATAATATCAGTCACACATTTCAGAACCATTTATTAAAAAGTCAGACCACTCAGTTTACACTAGACAGAAACCGCCTCTACACAATGTATTGGTGGTGGTGGTGGTTAAAAGTGGCCTTTTAAAAGGGGTTCACTCTGCAAAAAAGAAGGCTCATCCTGATCATTGCAATCACTAACAACTAGGAAAAACTACACCTTTAAAGTACAAGCGTAAAAATAACTTAAAACTTAGTGACGGGGAAAATTGTAACCAAATGTTAACAGTAACTTTACTTAAGTGACATATCATTCCCACAATGAATCCAGAGAAGAGGAGGACTACAGGGAAATAACAGGATGACAGGAGGAGTAAGCTCATAAAGGGGGTGAAGAAATGCACGCCTTCACTACCAGGGGAGGGAGAGAAAGAGAATAGAGGAGGAGGAGGGACTCAACTTTTCCGAAAAACTAGTAAGTACTTCGTTACCCATGGGGCCGGTTCTCCACCTACAGGTTGATTAGTAACTCCTCCCCCACCCCCAAACCCCACCCTCCACCCCAATTTCCCATTCGGTCAGGGCAAACGAGGCCCTCCGGGAGGAGAGAGCGGCGAAGCGCTCCTCCAGCCGCCCCCAGCCCGGAGCGGGGCTGACGGGTGCGAGCAGCTGGCAGGCAGCGGAGTCTCCTCTCTTCCCTTTCGCATCATGTGCTTTCCAGGCGCCATGTTAGGCTCCGAACAGGCGGCAGCTACCCTCGGGGCCCATCCCTGCTCCCACCAGCTCCCTCCCCCCCGACAGCTCGCTCCCAGGTCCCCCTTCACCTCCTTCCCACCCACGGAGCCCAAGTCCCCCGAAAGAGCGCTGCGGGCCAAAGGGCCGGCCACCACTCTCCACCCTCCCGGGGCCTTAAAATGGACCCTTTAACTCTTACTTCCCCAAACCTTAAACTAAGCTCAAGTCGGCCCCCCGCCCCCGCCCCGGAGTTCGGCTCTCGATGGTCAAAGCGTGTGTGTGTGACAGGTCCACAAGACGCTGGCCTGAATAGGGAGCCGGGGCACGGAGGTGGGGCTCCACCCTTGAGCCTCCCCACTCACTCCCGCAGACAGAGGCCCACGCTCGAAGCCCGGGCCGAGGACCGAGGCTGGGTGCACGGGAGGCTTGGAGAACAGGAGTGCTGTGTCCCCCCCCCCCTTAGGATGGAAGAGAGACCTGGGATGAGGCTGACACTAAAATTAGGGAGTATTAGAAGAATAGGAGGCTGCGGGGTGTATAAAAACCTTGGCGGTTTGGGCCTCGATGAGAGCGACGATCTCCTCGGCGAACGGCAGGTTCTCCTCAGCTAGAATGGTCAGCATATTGATGTGCGGTTTGCTATTGAAGGTCAGGTCTTCGAGCGATGACTGGTAATCCCGACAGGCGTCCTCCCGGGCTCCCGCAGCACCGGCCTCGGCCGGCGTCTGCTCTGACATTGCGCCGCGGTCCCGCTCCGATACCCAGCCTCGCGTCCGACTCCTCTGTTCTCCCTGGGTCTCTAGCGGCTCCGGCTTCACCACAAGCTGACAGCGGAGAGGGGAACCTCGGGTATGAAACGCCGTCGTTTCACGGGTGATCTCCGTCGACTTCAGCAGGCACAGGAGCTCCTCAAAATGGCGGAGACATCGGCAACAGGGACAGGTCCGAAAATGACTGTGTTCCCAACCGCTGCGTCTTCTTAAATGAGATAGGAGACCGGAAATTGCGTTAATGGGCGTGGCTACTTGTACAGCCAGGCGTGATTGGCTATATCCGCAACGTCACAAGCCCCTCCTCCCCCGCCCCTTCCGCAGGGCGTCCTAGGACCGCCTTCCTCCCCGACTCCAACCGAAGCTTTCGCAATATTTACTGCAGAGACGCGCGGAGGAAAAGACAGCCTTTCTCATTGGCAGATTCATATGTGACTGTTCTGTCATTTGTTACCATAACAACCCACCTGGGGAGGCCAATCGGATTAAGGAAGGCTGTTCCTTCCCCACCCCACTCCGAGCCCAACCCAACGGGTTTCAGGAAAAAACTTATTAAGCGCCCCTCCCTCTTCAGGTCCTCAGCCACTGAGACGTTTCGTCAATCATGCTCCCTCCCGCCTGCTCCGGCCGGCAGAGGCGTGGGGGGACGGGCTAGAGGGAGGAGCAAAGGCCTTGAGCTCGGCGTCTCCAGGGCCTGGTCTTGTCTCAGGTGCAACCCTGACTGTGGCTGATCTACCGCTGTAGTCCCTCGGTGAACGGAGACCGGGAAGCTCTGAGTTTACCGAGGCTCTGAACCTCGGACAACTAAAGTCAATTTCAGCACGCCGCCTCCCAAGCCCACAAACAAAAACACATAGGCCTGTGAAATGTCTTCATTTAGAGGTTGTGTGTGAGAAAGGCTTTCCTCTAGGGTTTTGGCAGAGCTCAGAAGGGAGCTCTTTGGGAAAACCCAGGTCTCTAGGAAAGATTTCTCACAATCACTAAACTCAGCACGGAGCCAAATAGCTCCCCTCCCTAACTCTTCTGCATTTCAAAACAGCCTTAGGTTGTTGGGAAGTGATCTTAAGTCAACTTAAAAGTCTGGAAATTCTCTCAAAACACACAAAGCATTCACACAAAGTTCTACCATGAAGTTAAGCATAACAAAGAACAAAAGGGATATTTCGTTTTCCTGAGAACAGATACTTAAAATTTAAGTTAAAGAAAATTAGTATTAACTACATACATTTGTTTCACTATTTCCTTTGGTCTACTCTGCGGAGTTACTTTCTTGTTGCTAAAAAGAAACTGCTATTAAAGATGCAATAATGCCTTTATTGCCTCTATGCTCAGTCGCTTTTTCCTTTGTTTTTAACAGCTTTACTGAATTATGGTTAAAATATAATTAAGTGTACAGGATTAAGCATTGGCAAATTAATTTTCATTTCTTCTAAGCACGGTATCCCATATGAATTGAAAAGCAAAATCTGGAGAAGAAAGTTGTCTTTCATTTTAAGATAGGAAACAGGGATGAATATTTCTCTCAATAATTAAACTCTATTGTCAGTGGTAGTTTTTAATTATAATGTCAATAAAAGCCATTGCCATCCAGTCAGCGCTGACTCGTAACTAACCCTCCAACAGGTTTCCAGAAACTAGAAATCTCTTGGGAGGAGATTGCCCATCTTTCTCCCACGGAGGAGCTGGTAGATTTGAACCAGCTGCCTCTGGGTTGACAATGTAGTTATAACAGGCACCGTTAAAATTATAAAACCTTCAAAGTTCCTATTTTCTGGAGGGCAACTTCTAGGACACGATACTCTTCTCACATTTTTTCTTATGAGTTTAAAGAGGAATCTACTACTAAACTTATGTTAAGGAAAATAGCTGCCATTCATTGTATTTACAGCTTTTAAAAATTAGTGACCCTTTAAAAAATTACATTTTTAAAGCTCTGATTTTGCTTTCATTGTATACCTCTTAGGCTGTAAGCAGTTGAAGAGTTAATACCTGCTGGCCATAAACATTTATAAACAATGTACCCACAAAGGATGTGGAAAATTCATAGTGACAGCAATCTTGTTCATATGCTATGAAGATATTTTTCTTTAATTCCTCAGCACAGAACACTAAATTATCAATATACAAACGAAGGAAAAAAACATCACCCATAACCTTTACAGGGTAAGTACTATCATCAGAATCTGCAACTAAAGCACCCTTAGCACCAATATGAAACCCTAGTTAGTGAATAACACAAAAGCAGGTGTTTCAAATCTACCACCAGCTGTGCAGGAGAAAGATGAGATCTCATCTGATGGGATTTCTGAAAACCTGATCAGTGCTGAGTGGATTTTGACTCTGGCAATGACTGAGCCAGTGAGCTGCCTTTATGCCACAAGCAGATAATCCCTTGGCTTTTCCTTCAAAAAATTTTAAAATCCTAATTATCTTGTTGCTAGAAAAACAAGGTTCTGCCTCTATCTGATGGAAAACCCAATCATGGAGACAAGCAAAAGCAGATTTTTTTTTTTTTTATGTTCACGAGTATAGGAGACATATGAGCTTCCCAGATATGTTGCCCCATCTTGAACACAGCTATGAATCTTAGATTAGCTATGAGCTGGTTCCCACTTGATGGCATGTAACAAAACAACAATTCAATCTATGATGCTGTTTTTCTTTAATAATGCCCATTTTGAGGCATTGTAAAACTTCTTGCTGCGTAACTTCCGTATTTTGGCTTATTCTCCTTGCAGCTGCTTCATTTAGCCTTCAGGAGCACATCCGTATAGAATCCTATTGCCAATCATCCGTAGTAGCACTGTATTCATGTACTCACTGCTGTCGAGTAGGAGCTGACTCAGAGCTGATCATCCAACTGGTTTCCCAGGCTGTAAATAGTAATGGAAGAGATCACTTAGCTTCCTCCCTCAGAGCACATATGTGGTAGATCTGAACGACCAGAGATGCCACCTTTTGGTTACCAGTGAAACACCCAGCAGACTATGCTAA